GTCGGTTCCAAAAATTTAAGAACTACCTAGAACGGTTCTGGTTCCAGTTCTATCTTTGTAGGAACCATCGATTCTGATTTTCGCTAAATGAGGCGGATACCCGCCTATGTCCATCTGTAGAAGAGACTACTTCCAGAGGAGTCATTAGTCGAGAAAATATAATTTACTAGTACATCTACAGTAACGTGAAATGCATTCCCTCTTTTATTATTATTATTATTATTATTATTATTATTATTATTTTGATAATAATAATGTTAAATGCATTTCTTCTTTTTTATTTTTTTTAACTTTTTTTATATAATAATATGGTTAAAAGAAAGAAATATCTTCATTATTACAAATGAGTAGATTTTTCAAATAATAAAATATATTCATAAAAAAACAATTAAATTAGAAAACTATAATAAACAAATAAATTGATGTACATTGCTATTTCTGTTGTATTTAACTTTTAGGGGTAAATACGAAAATCAACTATGTACTCTGATTTGTTTGTATATTTAAGGATCTTACTTTTACTTTTCCTATTACAACGTACCATCAATAAGCTTCGTCTCATGCATGATCTTTTGAGAGCACGGGTCAAGAAGACATTGCAAAAACGCTAGTGAAGGTAGGGTGCTGGAAAGGGATCATACGAATGTTATGTTCTTTTTTTAAATCTAACTTGAATGACTCATTAGTTTATCACATAGCAAGTCCCCCTCAGTCACTCCTATAGTTGACCCTGTATGAACCCTCTCCTCCAGATCCTCCCTTCTTTGTTTGGGCCCAATCACTACCCGTGGATTGAACTTCTGACTGGTGATAGACAAGCGAACGAGGGAAGCCCCGAAGGGTGTGGAGTTCCCCCTAGGGGAAGAAACTCTTAAAATTGTAGTCTCTCTCTCTCTCTCTCTCTCTCTCTCTCTCATTGTGGGTGGGTGTGTGTTTGTGTGGGGGGGGGGGGGGGGCATTCACTATGACTAGCGTCATCGGTTAACTAACCCAGTTCTTCCGCTTTGAAAAGTATAACCTATCTATCATTGTACTTTCATTTTTTAAACAATCAAATTATAAAATTGCACTTTCAAACTCTTTGAAAAACCAACCAATTATATCATAGCAATTTTAATATTTTGAATTTTGTTTCTTATTATTTTATACCTAGTAACTTAATATATTTATTTTTCCTATTTTAGTCTATTAAATGTTATAATTGTACAACATGATCATTTTATCATTAAAGAGACATAAAGAATGTTGTTCCTATTTTGAAACCATTTTATATATTAATTTAAAATAATGATTATATAGTTACAGACAAAACATCTAATTATATTTAAAAATAACCGATTGCAAAACTATTATTAATATTACGGTTTTTACAAGTTTAATGTTATTTTACTTTAACAACCATATACTACATGGATTATAACATAGTGATTTTATATATTCGGAATATTGATAACCATAAAAAATGGTTTATACATTAAAAAGGACAAAGCAGCACATAAATGGAGTTTTTCTTTAACTTATGCCAATATGTTATTGTTATCTATTTTATATTTTTAGCAGTTTAACATTATCTATCATGATAAATGAAATATGTTATATCTTACAAAATTTTCAGTATCTATAATTAAATAAATAAATAAAAATATCAATATATTTTTATTTTAAATGTCCATAACTTGTTGCCGAATAGAATATAAAGATTGTAATTTAAAGTAATAAAGATTGTAGGGTAGATTAGGCCCACATGCATGGGTCGTACATAGGCGCGATACATTCTAATTCTAACATTAAACATACATCAGCAAATTATTCAGAATGTGAATGACCAATACAATAGTCGGTTATTCAAATACAAGTATTATTACTCAATTTTCCATTCAAACTCTAATGTGAAGGACCAAATAAAATATGGCATACTCAACTTATCTAATTTTTACATCCCACATACATTAACTAATTGGTTATTTCAATATAATTACCGATTAGTTGTGATATAAAACTAAAGAATTTTGAAATAACCAATTAGTTTTTGACAAAACGTTCTAGTTTAAACAAAAAGCTCCGTTTGGCAGTACGAGCGTTTAGCTTTTAGTTTAAACAAAACGCTTCAAATCTAAAAGCTACTTTATGTAGCGTTTAACAAAATGTTACTGTGCTTTTGAAATCAATTTCCATAATTACCCTTAAAAATATATTTATATATTTATTTATTTTTAATCAATTGTCCTTTTATGTAATTTTATATATTTCAAAAGCTTTCAGCTACTTTTACCAAACACTCATATAACAAATAAAACCTACAGCTTCCCGCTCCCAGCTACCCGCTAACCGCTTCCAGCTAACAGCTGTTTTTGCTAAACACGCCTTAATATTTATTTTAAGAAAATAAGCCATCACAAACAACGTGATTATCTCATCATATGAAATATCTATTTCACTTACTTATACTATATATCTAATGACGTTGTTATGGATGAATTTAAAAATCATCGTAAACTTTAATATATTTTCTATTTTTAGATAAGAATAAAATATAAAAAATATAAAGTTTTTTTGTTTAACATTAATTAATGAGCACTTACTAATTTAGTTACTTCATAAAGGTGGGATAAATATCATAATACTTTTATCTTGAAAAATATTTTACAAAACCAAACGGGAAGTTTATGGTTTTTAAAAGAAAAATTATAAGAAACATGAAGAAATTGAGATGAAATAAAACTATTTTCAATAACTTAGCCCTGAAATATATTGAAACAAAATGGAAATTGGTACAAAAAACAAAACATAATCCCAATCAAAAAGCGGGAAACAGAGCACACAAACCATCTTTTGTTTCGTGAATTCATTTATTGTTGCCATAACGAGGCATCAAAATAAAAGCCCCCGGAGGAATTAGGAAGACTCCAGAAAGAAGACGGTGGCTCTCCGCTAAAATAATCCCCGTCGCAACCCTCCGGCCACCGTGGCGGTGAGTAGAAATCCCATACTGAATCCACAAACACGAAATCGTCTTTCGACTTTGCTGAGTCGTAACTCGCTCCCAAACTCGGAAGCTCCACTATCTCACTCAGCTCATCAGCCGGTTCCACCGGTGTCCCCGTCGACACTTCCTCCGATGTCACCAATGACGTCGTCGATGACGAGGAAGTCAACGTCGACGCAGCGGAGTAAGAAGAAGATGACGACGTGGAGCTGGATGTGGACGGTGTTGACGTGGTGGTGGTGAGGTTATCCATGGCGGCAGCTTTGGTGGCGGCAGCTTGAATGTCACGTGGAGAACATGATTCAGGTCTGGGCAAAAGATCCGCAAGTTCTGGGAAATTAAGGATCGCCGATTTACCCTTGATGGAAAGTGCGGCGACATCGTGTGCACGTGCCGCCATCTCCGGGTTAGAGAAGGTTCCGAGCCAAATCCGAGATTTTTTCTTGGGTTCTCTGATTTCGGATACCCATTTTCCCCATGCCCGCATACGAACACCTCTGTAAACTGGATGCTTACTATTATTATTCCCTTTGTTACAGCTACTATTGTTTCCATCATCACCTGGATTCTCTTCTATCATCTTCAACCTTTTCGGGTTTGGTTCAGTAAGCTCGGTTGTTTTGGAAAATGGGTCCGAGAATGTGGTGGTGGTTGATTCAGTCTCCGGTCCCGCCTCCGCCATTGTGAGTCAGGTTTCCGCCGGTGATGGCAGTTTAAAATCAAAAAATCTTGGAAGAGATTACTCAACCTGGACTTTAAACAAGGTTCAGAAAGATATATTTGTCCGTAGAGGGAAATATGTACATATGTGAGTAAATATATTTATAATCACAGAGAAAAGAGAGTGTGAGTGACAGAGAGATTTGAGTTGTGAATTCTAAATGTTGCTGCAAGTGTTACAAGTGTTTGGTGTGAGGGATTTTATATAATGCTAAATGTATCGATATATTAATAGATGTATAGAGATATAAAGGGTAGCAATCAGAAACCGACAGGAGGGTAAAACTAATTTAATAAAGGGTACGGTAGCACACAAATATAGGGTATGTGGACACAGAATTGATTTATTTTATTTAAGAAGAAAATTCTATTTATATCGTTAACGAAATTTGATTCTTTAATCTCAAAGATGAATGAAAAAATCAGATACCGCTAAAATCTTTTGGTACAGAACTAAAATGAGATAATGAATTGAAAAAGTAATATATTTTTCGATTTGTACACATTTAGTGACTGAGTTTTTTTCGTTCGTATTTATCCCTTCAACTTGTTAAACTGTATACATTCAGTTCTTATGACCGGCTACTCCAGGTTACCCGGTAAAAATGACTTAAAGGATAATATATTTCTTACTTTGTATACATTTAGTCCTAATTTTTTTTTTTTTTTTTGGAAAATAAGTCATTTCTTTGTACTCATTCAGTACTTATTTGTTCTGAACGTCCTAACTTCTTCATACGATCTCAAATTTTAACGGTCTTTATATCCATGTGTTCGTATTTTAGTCTACTACAACTTTCATTAAGATTACTCCCATTAAAAAATATATATTTTTACTTACGATTTTTATATCCATACGCGGGGGCGGATTTAACATGGTCCCGGTGTTGCACCGACAACACCTGTTTTTTCTGTTCGAAATAGAAAAATGTTCGATTTTTTTCGTTTATACCAATTTTTTATGTATCGGCAACACCTACTATGTATTCCTGCGTCTGCCCCTGTCCATACGTTTTTTATAAATACATGTATGAATGTTTTTTTTATAAAATCATAAGTAAAAATATATTATATTTTAACGGGAGTAATCTTAATAAAAGTTATAGTAGACTCAAAAAATGAACACATAGACATAAAGATCGTTAAAATCTGATATCGTATGAAGAAGTTACGATGTTCAAAATACAAGACTTAAGCCAAACCACAAAACCTACGCAACCAAACAGTCGAGATTGCGTTGGACATAAGCATCAACAACCCCAAACACCTCATCAATGATTGTCCCACGTAAGATGTCGTGATAAAAACCTAAAGAAATCATTCATAAGTACTGAATGAGTACAAAAAATGACTTATTTTGAAATAAAAAAAATGTTAAGGACTAAATATATACAAAAATATTAAGGACTAAATGTGTACAAAATGAAATATATATTACCCTATTAAGTCATTTTTCCCGGCTAACCTGGAGTAACCGGTCATAAGGACTGAATATGTACAGTTTAACAAGTTGAAGGGGTAATGTGGACGAAAAAAAATTCAGTGACCAAATGTGTACAAATCGAAAAATACATTACATTTTTAAGTCATTATCCCAATCCCAATTAAAATATAAAAAGAGAAGTAATTTTTTGACCATAAAAATAGGTTAAAAACAAATTTCCACTTTTAATTCTATATCATAATCTATTTCATAATCAATTAATATTCTTGCCTTTTCAAAAAAAAATTAATATTTTAAGCAAAAATGTTTTTGATAATAAAAATATAAAAGAAAGAATTAATCAATTTCATAACGGCAATAATCTAATTAGTTTTGAGATCATATGATATATAAATCATTACATTAAGCGGAAAATAACATAGAATTTATTAATGGAGTTATAGTCCGTAGGTTTTCAAAATTTATTATAAGGGTTAATTTAAAAAAAAAAAACTTATATTTTGTATTTTCTTCTAGATTAAACCTAAAACTTATATTTTTTGTTTGAAAAAAAAAACTTTGCAATTTTTCATTTTTTCCAAAAAAGTTCTCAACTTTATATTTTTTTCCATAAAAAACCCTCAACCTAATACTTCCAAATAAACTCTCAATAGTTTTAGTTTTTTCTCGGAAAAAAAACTCACATTTTACAATTTTTTGGGCAAAAAATGACTAAAATTGTCAAATGGGAAAAAAATACAATATCTTTTTCAGGTAAAAATAAATTTAATGATTAATCCAAATATATATATATATATATATATATATATATATATATATTAAATTAACCCCTAATATAATATAAAAACATATTTTATGACGAAATAAAGAAATAAAGAAATAAATATTTTATAACAACGTAAATAAAAACGGACATTGAGAAAGACAATATATCATATATCTAATGTATATATGACTAATATAAATTTATGTTAATAAATTAAATAAGAGTGTCAATTGGGAATAGCCCAATTGGTAGAGGCATAGCTTTTTAGTACGGAAGAATGGGGATGTCATGTCAGGGTTCGATCCTTAGTACTAACATGAATTGAAATATTAACACTAACATCTAACCAGTCAAACTGCCGTTCAAAAAAAATTAAATAAGAGTATTTTCAGCTCTAGTTTATTTTTCGAATTACCTTTTATTTTTAGTCTGTAAAATAGAATAAAGTGACCAATTTTATTTAGCTTTTAGGCGTCTTTAAATAAAGAAACGAAGAGTAACTTTATATTTGAAGTGTTATTGTTCATTCTTCTATTTATAAAGAGTAACTTTGTAATTTTCACATTTGATCCCTTTATTTTGGTTATATATATATATATA